CAAATACTAGAAACATTGCTAAGACACAAGTCACAACTAAGTATGTAGGACGTAGGTGCATAAGCAAAAATGTATTTAAAAAAAAAAAGTCATACAGGATCAAATAATTGCATCATAACCGTCTATTACTCGTTAATCGTTTAATTATGAATAAAATTTCATGAAATGTTGTCTACGGGATGCATACGAAAAGGTTATATATATACTTTTACAATATTACACGGCATTAATTTTTAATATTTTAATGTTATTCCCTGAATATCCGACTTTTAAAAATGTTTACATTTTGCATAATTTATTGAATTGTGTTATAAATAAACGATAATTTTTTCCATATAGTTCCGCTTACTTTCGTTGAGCACAATCTATATTTTTAATTAGCATATTACAAAATAGACTGCGTACGAGTTGATTCCCAGGTACCTACCTGTTTACCTGCACTGATACCGTTGAGACGTTGAGTTAACCCTAGTCATTAAGAGGTATGTACGAGTTGATTCCTTGGTCATTAATCATTATATATTATTTTCAATATTTAGTGAAATATTCAGCCTATTCCCTAATTCAAGAAACACCAAGATAGGAAGTTGGCTGACAATTTTCTCAAAAATTTTATTCTTTTTAGTTTTTTCATATTTTGAAAATCATTCAAATTTTTGTTAAAAAATTACTAGTAAAAAAAATTAGTAGGTAAAAAAATTCTTATTAAAAATATTTAATAATTTGGTAAAAATGTATAACACATTGTTTTTAAAAATCGGTATCTGGTAATGAGATTACCAGTAAACCGTGACATATAGTGACCCGGGAATCAACTCGTACATTAAGTAGGTCTCGGGAATCAACTCACCTACTTTTTTTTATAAAAGTCGATTTGAAGGGTTCTATCATTGGATGGTCGCCCTTATCATGCCATTCTATCTTTTTATTATATTGTTTTGTTGTACATAATACTTAATTTACTTATTGTGTTTTTGTTAATACAGATTTTAAAATTTCTAAAATAAAAAAAAAAAGTCGATTCTCTACTTCTATTTTATAACACGTTTATTATTTTAAGGCAATTATATGTTACTAAATATATTATGTATAATAACATTGAAAGTTATTTATATTTTTATTGTAAAATGTAGTAAGCAAAATCATGTTAAGACTGTTGTAATGACAAATATAATATTTATATTCATTGGCATAGTCAAAACTTTGATTAAATATATATATCTGATCGAATGAAGAATTTCAGTTACTTTTATTTTTCCTCTTTAGGTATATTAAATATAACGTATTAAAGAAGTAATAACCAAACAAATTTCGAAGGCCATATTTTATAAATACAAAAATTCAACGGCTTAAGGCTTAAGTATCTGATGACAACTAACATTTTGAGATGTTAAGCTATTGACGATTAAGATTTTGTTCTACTTATTTTTATTCTGAAAATACTTATTATTAATATTTAATTTTTTAGCATCTAATTATTTTCTAAAAAGTAATAAAACAGAATATTTTTACTGTTTAGTATTAGTAAATATATTCATTGACTACAAATGTTAATATTTTATTACTTGAATATCTATACTAAATATCCCGACCATCGACTATCGAGTGATTGTAAAACTATACAGACTGATAAACAGATTCATAAACAAATTTGTTTGATTCCGAGAAATAGCAATTTAATTTCCATTCCTCGGATTAACAAAAGGAACTCAATGTAGTTTGAAAACTAAGTAAATTCTATTTATGAAATAATTACATTAATTGTATATAACTTACAAGATATTATGAGAAAATAGTGAAGATACGAAGTGTTTGTATTATAAACCTTTAAATTATAATAATTATTATGATGACCAGCTTATAATAGTTACAGTGATCCACACCTATACTGTACAGTAGAGCAACACCCACCTACCGCCTTTTTTAATATTGAAAATGTATTTACGTTTGTGCAGCATTAAAATATGTTATTGTCTGCTCATCAGTATTTATGCAACAGCCGATGAAATTAATATTTATAAAGTTTCCAGTAATCTACAGACTGCAGCTCGCTTAGAGAAATTGTTGACTACTACAAACTGCTTTGATTCAGTCTTTCCACCTACCTGATGACACCAGTTAATGAACACTCCTAGTGAATGAACAAATTTTACGTTTTTAATTATGTTAAGAATTGGGCAACACTGATTTTTTAATAAATGTTATTGAAAAAAACTTAAAATTGTAACTTTGTTGACACTGTAAACATAAGTATTTGATAATTATTTGAATTATTGATAGTAATATCGTTTATCAGTCATGTGTAGATAAAGGTAATAATGATATCAAATGTCTTATTTTTAAAAAAATACTGGTCCACAGAATAAGGTTTTTTTGATCCAACCATTAGATTTTAAAGGTAAGTGTATACTAATATTGATGTATAAATGTTCAGGAACACGAATTTGGTTGAACTCTGGCTTTTGGGTCTGGGAAAAAAAACGCGAAAATATTTCTAAGTCCATATCACATCTATAATATTATCACTACAGCAATACTCTGCAGTGTTGCCATGATAATAATTTTATGTACCACAATAAAAATTTATACTACGTAATAATGGTAATAATCACAAAAGTATTCTAAGTTCAAAATAATCAATTTATTCACTCGTTCATTTTCCAAAGTAATTAGGTCCAAAATAATATTTCAAAAGTGTAAACTATTACGACCACCTAGGCTTTCGGATTTTTGATTTTTCCATTTTCCGACCACTTTTAACGGACCCCCTTGGCTTTTGGGTCTGGGAAAAAATGTCGAAATATCGAAAAACGTCTAAGAGGTTTTTTATTCGTATACTGTATTAGAAAAACATCCGGTAGTCACATTTTTAATTTTTCGATTTTCCGACCACTTTTCACGGACCACCTTGGCTTTTGGGTCTGGGAAAAAATGTCGAAATATCGAAAAACGTCTAAGAGGTTTTTTATTCGTATACTGTATTAGAAAAACATCCTGTAGTCGGATTTTTGATTTTTCGATTTTCCGACCACTTTTCACGGACCACCTTGGCTTTTGGGTCTGGGAAAAAATGTCGAAATATCGAAAAACGTCTAAGAGGTTTTTTATTCGTATACTGTATTAGAAAAACATCCGGTAGTCACATTTTTAATATATATAAAATAATAAAAAAAAAAACAAACATCATTGTAAAATCATTACATTCATCGCTCCACACAGAATCTAAAAAATTAAAAATATATTGGTAAGATTTTTTTAAAAGCATTTAAAGTTCAAATTTCGGCAACATTAATCATATTGAAAATTATTTTACAGTTAAAAATTTATAAAATAGCTAAATATTAAAAATGTAAAATAAAATACCTCGTAAGAATTTCATACAGTACCCACAATTATGAATAAAACTAATTATTATACTATTTAGAGTTTAATACATTTTTTAAAGCAAACATGTCATTTAAAGAGATTATAATAAATATAAATATTTTATGTGTCTTTAGTGGACATGGTGTAGTTAACCATACAGTTAACTTTGTCGAGCCACCCAAACATTTACCACCAATTTGGGTACAACAAAAATGGTTCTTTTAAGAACCGACAATTTAAAACGGCCCTTCTTAGGGCCACCACATTTTTAAGTTCATATAATTATATCAGATTAAATAAATATATTATTATATATTTAAAAAATATGAAAAATCGAAAAATTAAAAATGTGACTACCGGACGTTTTTCTAATACAGTATACGAATAAAAAACCTCTTAGACGTTTTTCGATATTTCGACATTTTTTCCCAGACCCAAAAGCCAAGGTGGTCCGTGAAAAGTGGTCGGAAAATCGAAAAATCAAAAATCCGACTACAGGATGTTTTTCTAATACAGTATACGAATAAAAAACCTCTTAGACGTTTTTCGATATTTCGACATTTTTTCCCAGACCCAAAAGCCAAGGTGGTCCGTGAAAAGTGGTCGGAAAATCGAAAAATCAAAAATCCGACTACAGGATGTTTTTCTAATACAGTATACGAATAAAAAACCTCTTAGACGTTTTTCGATATTTCGACATTTTTTCCCAGACCCAAAAGCCAAGGTGGTCCGTGAAAAGTGGTCGGAAAATCGAAAAATCAAAAATCCGACTACAGGATATTTTTCTATAACGGCATACGAATAAAAAACCTCTTAGACGTTTTTCGATATTTCGTCATTTTTTCCCAGACCCAAAAGCCAAGGGGGTCCGTTAAAAGTGGTCGGAAAATGGAAAAATCAAAAATCCGAAAGCCTAGGTGGTCGTAATAGTTTACACTTTTGAAATATTATTTTGGACCTAATTACTTTGGAAAATGAACGAGTGAATAAATTGATTATTTTGAACTTAGAATACTTTTGTGATTATTACCATTATTACGTAGTATAAATTTTTATTGTGGTACATAAAATTATTATCATGGCAACACTGCAGAGTATTGCTGTAGTGATAATATTATAGATGTGATATGGACTTAGAAATATTTTCGCGTTTTTTTTCCCAGACCCAAAAGCCAGAGTTCAACCAAGTACTATAAATCTATTAAATGAACACAGTGTTCATTCACTGGAAAAGTAAAAATAATTTTTTTTGGCTAAAATTAACAAAATTAAATACATAATGCTTTTACAAAAATGTTTACTATATAACAATGTTGTTTTAAATGAATTCTTCCAATAAATGAACAGGTTTTTATTGTTTGTTCATTTACTGGTGTTTCAATGTAAATTCTAGTGAATGAACATTACCAATTAAAAAAGTACAATTTAAATAAATATTGTTATAACTTTTTTTAATTTAGCATAAAATACCTGTACCTATATATAATGGAAGAGATAAAAAGACGATTCAGGTACAGTGAAGAGGACTTGAAAAGGGCAATGGAAGCAGTTCAGCAAAATGAAATGACTCTATGTAAAGCTAGTGCTAGTTTTAATATTCCTAAAGGTACTCCATCAAATAAATTAACCTAACTATGAACAGTGAAAACAAGGCTGGAAAGTCTGAAAATACAATTAATGCAGAAAACTCTAATATTATAGAAAATATAAGAACAGGAATCAAAACTAGTAATTTGACTGAATCTTCAATTGATAACATATGGTCAACACATTTTCCATGGCCTAAAACTCCAAGCAGTCAGGAGTCAACTAAATCATCTGAACGAAAAGTACCATATGCGATCACATCAGTGCAGTGGCAAGAAATTCAAAAAGAAAAAGAATGTGTTAAATTGAAAAAACAAGAAGCTATTGATTCTAGAAAAGAAGAAAGAAAGCAAAAAGCAATCGAAAAAGAAATTACACTTGACGAAAAAAGGAAAAAGAAGAACACCAAAAAAGATAATGTAGAAGAACTTGAAGACATTAAAAAACTCATACCTCAAACACAAACCTCAACCTCTAAAGTAGCTATACGGTTGGATGTTTTTTCATTGTTGAATATGAAGAAGAATATTTTCCCGGGGAAATAATGAAGAAAAAAGCTAATGAATATCAAGTTCGCGTAATGTGCATGTCCGGCTTAAATTGGAAATGGCCAGAAAAAGAAGACATATGTTGGTATAAAAAAGAATATGTTATGCAAAGCATAATGCCTCCTAAATTAGTCAATGCTAGAAGAATATATGCTGTTCCAGAAATCAATAATTATAAAATATAATTATTAATTATTTTATTCAAAAATTATATTGTTTTAATGTATAACATTAGAAGTTTAAAAGTTTGTTTTTATGTTTTATTAAGTTAACATTTTAAGTTTGATTATTTGTTTTTATATATTAAGCATTATAAGTTTGTTTTTAATATTCTATTTGAAATTAGTTATTTAGTTGAAGTTTGAAAGTTTGTTTTTATTTAATATTTATACCTATCTGTATTGAAAGAGTTAAAGACTAACTAATAAAAATTTAAAAATTGTTTTTTTTTATTAAGTTGATAAATGTTATTTCTACCTACCTAATTTATTTTATTGGTATACATTTATAATGTATACCTACTGTTAGTATTCCATTTCAAAATTCATGGTTTAAATCTGTGAATTTACCTATAGTATAATTTTGGAGACTATAAAAGCACATAAATTTACTTTATTTTAAAATTTGATAGTTATGTTCATTTATCATTTTCAAATATTTAAAAATAATACAATGTAGATATTAATACAAACAGTTTAAAAAAAAAAAAATTATATTAATGTGTTAAATATTTTTGAAGTGACATTTTTGAGAAAATTGTACAATCTTAAGTGTTCATTAACTGGTGTCATCACCGAGAAATAGCAATTTAATTTCCATTCCTCGGATTAACAAAAGGAACTCAATGTAGTTTGAAAACTAAGTAAATTCTATTTATGAAATAATTACATTAATTGTATATAACTTACAAGATATTATGAGAAAATAGTGAAGATACGAAGTGTTTGTATTATAAACCTTTAAATTATAATAATTATTATGATGACCAGCTTATAATAGTTACAGTGATCCACACCTATACTGTACAGTAGAGCAACACCCACCTACCGCCTTTTTTAATATTGAAAATGTATTTACGTTTGTGCAGCATTAAAATATGTTATTGTCTGCTCATCAGTATTTATGCAACAGCCGATGAAATTAATATTTATAAAGTTTCCAGTAATCTACAGACTGCAGCTCGCTTAGAGAAATTGTTGACTACTACAAACTGCTTTGATTCAGTCTTTCCACCTACCACTGCAAATTTGAATGGTCCTCAGTCCTATGATTGGTTTCAGGTCTCGCAAAAAGTAAAAGGAACCTTTCAAACAATATTCACCACAAGAATAAAAAAAAATAGAAATGATTTTGTTCCACAAATCGTTTCTCAGTATACCAACACAATACGAGTCAGTGAAAAATTCTCCATCGAACAATACTCCCTTGGAGTTCAACGATTTTTCTGAAGGGTCTATCAACGTTTTAAGCATCGGAAAGGGAAAATCAGCGGAAACCAGCAATATATTTTTTAAGAGGCTTTATTAACTTTACTTATCATTGCAGCTCAAGCCAATTGAGATGATTGGCATACATAACTTCTATTACAAATCTTCGATTGATCGTCTGAAATGATGACTGCAGCCAACCAAGATTAATTGTATGTACTACTGCAGGTTCACTTCCTCAAGGAGTAAAAGGTTAAATTTCAAACCCATCAACCAAACTGGATGAAGACGAACCAAAGAACCAAAATGAGCTCTCATTGTCTCTCCACCAGAATGTTATCCTCCACAAATACCTTTACAATATTAAATACTTCGTTGTTTCATTAGTTTTCTATGATATCTGATGAGAACTATAAATGAATCTAATAGTGTAAAATGTAAACGTTTTGTTATTACATAATTTACGAACAACGATAATAATCTGAGAAAATACAATAAATTGGAGAGAGAGAACAACTTTTATTTAAAAAAAATACAACTCCTACTACCTGTCCAACAGGTTGCCTATAATGACGCAGTTTACCTATCAGACATTTTGTTATCGGTTATAATATTATGTGAAGAGAAATATTATTATACATTTGAATTTAGTAGTATTTAAAATTAGTAGTATAAAAGTTACGTATTCAAATCTTTAAATTAAGTAATAACTAATAAGGTACAACTTATGAAATATTATCACATAACAGACAGTGACTTAATATTAATCGTAAATCACACAGAGTTTATAAATGTCTGTGTATTATATTTAACGTATCTGACATTATTTCCAAACAAATTATTCTCAGGTATACTTAATCAAAATGAATGAGTTTTTTGTCCCTGCTGAACAACCAGTAATTATAATATATTATAGATTACATAGTCAAGAGTCATAACTGATATTACAGGCTACATGGCCATGTAAGTATGAATTTTTTTAAATCAGTTAATCCAATTTAACTTTAATTTTTGTTATTGGATAATTTAATTTTGTTGAATTATTGTTTATTGTTTTTTTTTTAAATTATTTGTATGTAACTAACTATAACTCATTATGCTCATACATAACTCATATTAAGAGTAATGTAATTGTATCGAAAAAATTTAAAAAGCTACCTAATTTACTGAAAAAAAAGCAATCGTTGTTAATATTATAAACTGCATTATTCCACCGATTAAATTTATTGTAAAATCTGTAACACGCTTATCCACATAAATTCATTAGTCATCCACATAATTTCAAAAAAAAATTTAATTCTCATAAATCCGGCTATATTATAATAAATAAAATAATAAAAATAATAAAAATAATTATAATATAATAAATAAAATTATAAAAAAAAATTGCTAAAAATCACAAAATACCTAAATTAAAACACGTGACAAAAACGCAAATTATTTCCTCGTTATTACTAAAGATATATAATATATTCATATGAAATAATAATTGTACAGTGTTTCAGAGAAGTGGAACTAACTGCTATCATTATAAGACATTCGCGGTACAATCAACTAATGCTTAAATTTTCTGCGTGGAATTGTTGGTTGTTAGTGGCGAAGGGGTGAGGGTAGATTACGAAAAATACGCATAATTTATTTCACAAGTCATTTACTTCACTTCTATATTTTAATTAATCAAGGGACGCACAGAACGATGCGCTCTGCGTTTGCTTTCACTTTAATTTGAAAATATAGCTGTAGTTTTGCTTATCAACAAATTATAATTTAAGACAACATTTTCAAAAATAAATATAAAATATATGCTGACGAAAAATAATGATAAATACGAGTAAACAATTATGTTTACTAAACATAATATTATAGCATTGTCATGAAAATATAATATGATATTTGGTGACATTTATAAAGCACCTATGTGCGTATTATAATGTCATAAAGTACGATGACGCTCGATCACCATCACCCGGTTAGTTATTACAGTTATTACTAACCGCATAGGTACTTAATAAATAGGTAATATTTGTGTGCTTGTTCAGTACCTACTTAAAACTTGGTATCTGAGTCTGAAGTCACGGCACCAGATCGTATAGCCATTATATTTGGACCGCAACGACGGCGACATTTCTGGCCTGCGCCGACTCCGATTAGTAAAATGGCGACACACAAAGGCGTATCTTTACGTATATTATACTATATATGACCGCAATCAATATCAATAGGAAAACGATTCTAATGCGTTTATTTATAACGAGCTTACGGCGTACATTATACCTACTACGATACTCAAAACCGGGTAACGGTCCCGAGGTTATGGTCACCGTGATGATTTAATTATCACAGTCAGGTCCACACATCGAACCGTATAGGAATCGCGTCGACTCTTTCATACAAAAAGCCTAACTAAACGAGCAGGCGAATTTCGTACTTCAATCGCTTTCTCGGCGTGCCTGGATTAGAAATTTAAATTTCACCCGTATGGAACGTTATTTTAGTTGGAGCAATGGTCTCATACTTTATTTATAACTTTAGATGTATTGCCCACAGAGGCTCGACGATTATCTATCCTGGCTCACCGCAATATCTATGATAGGCGGAGCAGGAGGAGTCGGAGGAATATTATGATCGATCGCACCACGCCGTATACACACAGCATATAATATTATTATATATTATTTTATATCATGTTTGCCGCTTAATCATTTAGCAGTCAGCTATATTATTACATACTCGATGGAATCTGATATATCTAATAGTGGTACCTAGATAATGTTCCATACACGCATACGTTACGGTGACTTTACTCCGAACACTTTGGATCCGTACCTACTGCAATTATATTGTGCAATGGAAATAAGACACGAGCGTAGTTATTTTAACCTAAAAAAAACCATTTCAATTCCATCACGAGGTAATATTTAAAGCGTTTAATATTGCGTGTATATTCGAGGTTTGGAGGGGAAATAGTATTGAGAATTTCCGCAGACTTCTCTACGTTAAACTAGGTAGGAAAAATACACTTATCAGGTATAACCTACCTTCTAGGGTTATTGTAATGGACGTGGTTCTATATTAAGGTCGTCATAAGAGAGCGATACAAAAAGGAAAATCGTCGTTTAAAGCATCATTTATACTGCAAAGTGTACACGGTATATAATATCGACTGACTTGCCATTTTATTTGATTATATACGGTCTAGTAGACACGTTTTGTTGGAAAGCTAGTCGCTATATTATGTGTGATCAAGACGTGTTTTAAACACACATTTTAAAATTAACATATCATTAAAAAAAAAAATTTCCACGATATATAAACTATTTTCGACTGAGACAATAACATTGCTCGATAGGTATTATATGAATGGTAAATTGATAATCAATACCTGCATAAATACATAATATTATAATAGGAATTAACGTATGATAAATACAAAAATGTTAATAGCAAATGAAATAGTAGCTCAATATTATTAAATAATTTTATTATTTATATTTTTCATTTTATTTTCAGATCAAATACATAAGATGTCATGTAATATAAAATTATGTCTCTGTTTTAATATACAAGACAAAAACTACTTAAAATAGGTATACTGTGTCTCTGTGCTATAGTGTGTTAAAATTAACTAATTTTTTATCCGAATGTAGACCACTAGACTATAAAGGTTTAATAATTAACCAATAAATGTATTTTGCCTATGAAAACGAAAACCTCGCCTATGACGTCGGTGCATATATAGATTGAAGGGAGATATTTTTTTCGGAAGAACCTTCGATTACATTCTAAAGGTTTGAAATGTTTTCGTTTACGCCAGACAAATTATAATAATAATAATAACAATTAACAATGCAATTCTGTATTTTTGCGGGTAGGTACACAAAACAAGATAAGAAAAAATAGGCCAAGTGCTAGTCGGACTCGCGCACGAAGGGTTCCGTACAATCATCAGCTATAAACATGTTGGCAACACTGCTTATATTATATATTATAGGATTTTTTTTGTATTTTTTGTTATAGCGGCAACAGAAATACATAATCTGTGAACATTTCAACTTTCTAACTTTCATGGTCATGAGATACAGCCTGGTGACAGACGGACGGACGGACGGAGCCTTAGTAATAGGGTCCCGTTTTACCGTACAGAACCCTAAAAAATATATTGCAGCTAATGTGAGCGTTGTTTAATAATTCGAATGCGTCAAAAAACACTCAGCAATATAATTTAATCCTTCGCCGATTGCATTCGGTGCAGTGCCGTTTATAGTATTAATAATGTTAGTATAATATATAATATATACTATAGCTGATCCCGTGCACTTCGTTGCCCGTTAAATGTACCAACTCTATATGACTCAAACTTTGTTCAATTCGTTATTTGATATTCGGTGTATGGTGTTCAAAATTTATCTCAACTTTTCATTTGCCCGGAATAAAAATTCTGATTCTCAGCAGTGAATATTATCAAGTAGGCAATCTACCTGTGGTAGATTAATCGTGCTGTTTGTACGTAAGTGTATGATTTAACTCTAAAGTATCAAAGTTATACCAAGTTTGTCGTTTGTACTTAATTCCACCTATCTCACGGCAAACAATATTTATTATTGTAATAGCTTTAAAACCCATGGCAACCATTTATAAACAAAAATATCCACCATCAATCTCTACATTCCCGTTTGAGAACCTCCATGGAATGGGCCTACCGGGTCCGACTGTGAATCTAAAACATTCTAGGACCCACTAAAGCACACACAAAAAATTTCATCAAAATCGGTGCAGCCGTTTAGGACGAGTTCGCTTACAAACACACGTAAGTACAGCAGAATTATAAATATAAAGATATTATATATAAGGTCGATTGTCGATTGTCAATCACGAACACGTCATACAATTAATATACAATTATACGATGCCCTAGAAAGTGTCTTCTCATCTGACTTATCAAAAGGATAATTTTTTAGTTGCTCCAACCTTTTGAGTCCCAGCAATACCGGCGCACCATCTACACGCGAAAATTCAAAAACTATCCTCTTCCGACCGATCTACGCGAGTTATTCGTTTGCTGAACACTATAAATAGGTATAGTACTTACTAATGGTATAGGACATAGGTACTAACACTGTTAAATGCTCCATTCACAGATTTATTATACAATGTACCTACCAATATTGTTATTGTTTAATGTTTATATAATAATATTATGTAATGTACTCGCAGAAAATACGATGAAAACTTAACATTTTATTACTTATGGTGCCCTGCGGTGTCACGTTTTTTTCTCTTAATAATTCCAATAATTTAAGCCACATGCCCACATATACCACCATCATGTAAGTTTATATAATTGTACCTATTGCAATTCATTTTTAGATTCTGAGTGAAACGATGAATGTAATGATTTTACAATGATGTGTGTCAAAAACAAAATCAATTTTGGTTTTTGGTTTAACTCTAAAACAAATGAAAGTATATTACATGAAATTTTCACTGGTAGCTTATATTTGCATTTTCTATACACGATAAAATTTTCGAAATATTATGATTTGTTTTGAACTGTTAAGGAACATTTGTATTTCCCATTTTTTTTCAGTTTTTTCTAAAAATATCAATAAAATGTTATTTGTTGGTTAAAAAGCTTGAAAATTTAATAGAAGGCTAATACTATAATGTTACAATTAAATTTGAAAAATGTTAAAAATCCTTAGTCACAGTTCTTTTTATAATCATTTAAAGTTCAAAAATTGACAAAATATGGAAAAATCACGAAAATTAGCAAATTATTTTGAGTTAAGAATTCGTAAAAATTTTTCTTTTTAAATCTAAGATTTTAAAATGAAATACAAGATTCCTTATAAGATTATCTACTTTTATCAAGAAATAAATGTCTATAAGAAAGTCAAATTAAATTTTTATGAGCGTTTGAAATTCAAATGTTTACAATATTGGATATTCACTCGATTTCTCATGTAGCGATTTCCTTATTTTGTTGTAATTCAAAAACGAATAACTGTATCTACATGAAAAATTCACTGAATATTTATACTAGCATTTCCTATACACCATACAATTTTGAAAATATTTTGACTCTTTTTGAGCTGTTTACGGACATTTTCAGTTTCCAATTTTTTTAGTTTTTTTTTCAATAAATATCAATTAAGTTCTAACTGTTGGGCCAAAAAGTGTGAAAATTTAATACAAGACACACCTGATATATTGTTACAACATCAGTTGAAAAATATTGAAAATACATGGGCACAATTTTTTTTTATAAGTATTTAAAGATTGAATTTTGACAAAATGTATCAAATTTAAAATTGAATAATTATTTTGTAATTAAAAATTTATAAAATGTTCAACTTTTATATCTAAGGATTGAAAATTTAAAACAAGATTCCATGTAAGTAGTTTATTCTGTTACCAAAAAATCTAAAAAATACACAAGCACAGTTTATTTTTACAGTCATTTTAAGTTAAAATTTGGACGAAATTACATATTAAAAACCTAGAATAACTATTTTAGTTATTTTGTTGTGATTGTATAATATTATTCGTGGGTACTTGAAACTTCTAAAGTATACTACTATATATCTATGATAGTATCAGGGTTTGTTGTTGGTGTATAACGCGTTATAAGTACCTAATGGATATTGTGATATGATTAATTTGAAATTCATTATACGTCAATTGTTTTTAATACCTATACCATAGATAAGTATATAATATGTCTTAGACAGACATACCGTCTCCGCTCCGAATCGTTTTTCTTATACAATGATATTATATCATTGAATTCAAATTTAACACCATCCATTATACAGTGACCCACATATAACCTACTGTACAGCAGAGCACCTTTTTTTAAGTTAAAAAAAAAGTTGATTTAAGTTGATAAATAAAAATGACACTTGCCTTCTTTATTTTTTAATAACTGAAAACTTCTTAGGTAGTATTTAATAAAAGTGTACTTACTTATTTTCATCTTCTGAATATAACCTAATACGCAGTAAATTCATTAAAACCCATATAACAATTTATCAGGACATTTTTTTTCGTATGTTCAATAGTTTCCTCATGATAAATACAATAATCATCTACTTAGTGTTTAAAATATTATTATTTTTACTCAACGGACTAATTTAAAACTGTTTTATTGTTTCCTGACAACCAAGTGAATTTTGGCGTCATCTCACTGCCGGCTCCCAAAAATATATTGTAACAAAAAAATAAATACATAGCAATACTATGGTAGGTACCTATACTTTGAATTTTTGACGCGACACCGGTCCTAATTATAAACACTTTGAGTATATCGACAACGCGTCTTGCGATTTTCGAAGGACGGGAGAAGCTTACAACGGTATATAGATATAAGTATATAACAAATCAATTACAATTCAATGATAGTTATCGAGGTATATTACAATAGGGATATACATTGTACACAAAACACGGTTAGTACAACATTTAAAGTTTTACACGTACAAAACAATTATATGATAATAGTATAACGGTATAGATAGTATAAAAAATCAATTATTACAATGCAAAGGTAGTATCGTGGTATACAAGAATAGGTACAGAAGACATGGTTAATACAATAGTACAAAATTTAACGTTTAAACAAATGCTTACAAGACAATTATATAATAATATTATAAAGCCTATAAAGGTGTAAAGATAATATAAGAAATCAATAGTTACAATTGCAGTGGCACGTGGCGGCACTATGTACTTACGAAAAGTTCTAGTGCAGCAAACGGCATGCATTGACGGGACGACAGACGGGCGAACGTCCGCAGTGACAATATCAAAAAAGAAAAACGAAGTCGGCCGAACATTGACGACAGGCGGAACGACGGTACAGGATAAATCAGCAAAATCAGCTGGTGCAGGTCGCCGGACGGCCTGTGACCTGCTGGTAACACGGCCGCGACCACGGTACCTCGGTGAACGTCATTCGATGTCGACAAAGCTCCCACAGAAACATATTCTGCAAGCCGCGTTCACCAGACACCTTACGACGAATCGCTTGGACCTTTTCCACTCGGATTTTCGCCGCGGCTGCTCAGGTGTCTACGGGAGTTCATCCGGCGAGACTTCGAGACTTCCGACGAGGCGTTCGATCGTCTTCGATTGCCGTACAGAAGCGATTCCACTGTCATCTCCGGACACGACCGGAAGGGTTCCCGGCGCCAACTCGGCAGTCCGGCGGCCACGGATATCCTTCGACCGTCAACGGCAAGGTCCAACGCGTCGATTGTGCATAGGACACGACTATTTTGTTCCCCGGTGGATGCTGCAATCATCGAAACGGCCATCTTGCAGCAGTGCAAGGGCGAATCCAAATCCATCTCCGGAGACAACCTGAACCGTTTTCCGAGTCCACGTGATGCGGGTAACGGCGCCTTGAGCCTCCGATCGACGGCTAAATCTAGCACGTCGATGACAGATCGAAGTCCGGTAAAGCATTCGTCGCGACGGCTTGTAACTTCCATCTCGTTGTTTACGGCCATTTCCAACAACTCTTGACAATGCTACTGTGACGTATTGAAAATGTTCAAACGGGCAAAAACTTTAGTATTAAATAAAGACTTAGAAAAACAGTTCAAAGCCCGTGGTCCTGTCAAGTTTTCGTGTAAAATTGTGGGTCATTATATATTTATAGAACAATAGGCCTTTGCTGACATAGTTCAATCCTAAATATAGGTATGGCTGGATAAGCAGAGGTACATAATTTTTAACAGCCCAGAAAAGGTCGTTGCGTGTGATTGTTTGTTTCGACACCAAGAACGTGAACCCTAATTTATATTGTTTAAAAATGTATTTATTAAAATTATCAATAATATTTATATAACATAATAAATTGTGAGTGATTTAACGACCAACCTTGGAATAATTACAACGTTTTTGAGCGGTTTTATGACCTATATTCATATTTTAAGTGTCTTAACTATACCTAACTGTCTAAACCGTCTGACGGGTTCCTTTGAAGGGGTTAATATATTAGGTATATCGTCCTATTGAAAATGGTTGTGAATACCGAGACTTTTATACACGGTTTTTTTACCGAACCTAATATTGATATTTAGTAATGTTTCATTCTGATCAGTCACCTAATTTAACTAGATAGATACCTATTTGTATGCTTCACGTCACCATGACAAACTTTTTCTTAAAGACTTTAACGCCAGACTGAATATAGGTACTACCAAAGTCAGTGATTTTATTTTATTGGATCCATGGTTTAGAAATAATTATGCTTTATATATTCTGAACATCATATAGTTTTTTTTCAATTTATTCATTCACACTAGATCAGTATATTATTATATTATGCAACGTTTTCTATTAAAAATAAATTCCATGCCCTTCAGAGAAAACCAAAAATATCGTCAAACCATTTTATATAAAACATTAATATAATAAAGGTTAACTAGAATTACTGAAGAAAAAATAGTTTTTATAGTTTCTATGTTCCTGCTTCCACTAAATTAAAATAATAATTTAAATAATATATAAAACAAAGTCGGTTCGCTGGAACGGTGTAAATTATTCAAACATTTTTTTTTTATTCACATATATATGTTTTGGGGCTGGCTCCAACTTTTTTTCTGACCTATTTTCGAGATACCGAATTTCCTCCCAAAAATATATTTATGATTCATAGATTTTCCTTGCAGAGCAAAAATATCAATAGTATAGTTTTATTAACAATTTTGCTTTAGAACTGTTTAGCATAATATATGTATGTAAGTACTAAGTACCTATACTTAAAATATTGGCATAATATTTTTTTAAGACAAAAACCTTGGAAATGAAATAGGTTTATTACATACATCCTCAACATTTTTTTTTTAATTTTTGAAGTTCGAACTGATGAAACGTGTCAAAATTACGAAATCGTGTAAATTTTTTTAGTTTAATATAGTGATGATCAAAACAAGACCAAGACCAAGACTTTCAAAATCTTGGTCTTGGTCTTGGTCTTGCAGACTCAGTCTTGGTCTTGGTCTTGGGTATACACCTTAATATTGGTCTTGGTCTTGGTCTTGCAGACTCAGTCTTGGTCTTGGTCTTGGTCTTGCGCAAGACTCTTGCAAGACTCTTGCTATTTTCACAAAATATATAAAAAAAAAAACCAAATACCTGTTATAGCTGTGTGTAGGTTTTTTGCTATGATCACTAAGATGAAACTTAGTCCAATATATTACATAGTATATTCATAAATCAAACATTAACATAAAACAAGTCAAACAATTTAATTTTTATTATAGGTACTCATTTAAAACTTTGCATTTTAAATTATGCTTATATTATTTTACTTGTATGAATCAATTTACCAGCATAATTAACTTTCTAAGTTCCTATTGCATTTATAATAAATATCAATAGGTTATTACTAATTGCTAATTACTAGTTATTGACCAATATAATGTTTATAAAAATTAAATTGTTGTTTTTTTAATGTTCACTTTAACTAATAATAATATTTAAAAAAACTGTATGGTTTGTTCCAAATATTAAATTGCTTAATAATTATATTAATTGTTATAATGATAATATTTATTATTTATAATTAAACTTTTATTCTTCTTTTATTCACCAGTGTCCAGTACAGTAGTACTAAATGTTTAAGTTTCTTTTAATATAATATATTGGCAATAAACAATTTCTGTAAATCTTATTAGGTACCTACATTTTATTTTTAGAAAAAGTTTTTAATTATCTTAATGTCAACTTAGTTAAGTAGTAACATTGTATTTAAGATAACTGTAAAGTGTAAAGTGCATACCTACATCAATACATAAAACTATTATGTACAACCCACAATAATTAAAATGTGTTACTAAATGAGGTAAGTTATAATATTAATAATGTTTTTTAATTAAAATGTTTATAATTTTTTGTGACATACAACCTATTAATTTTCAGTATTCAATATTTTTGGTAGACAACATCTTTTAAATATAAGTTTTGTTCTATTATTTAGTTTTAAAATCTTATTAAAGGAAAAAAAAAATAAACAACTGAATCATGAATACGAATGAAAATAAAAACGTACTTCCTATTAAAATGATACCTACCATAGACCGTAATGACTTTCAGCAATTATTAGTATATTCGATTCAAAGTAAATTTGTGTTATGGACATACATTATTCTATTAGCAAGACAACTTTCGACGTTTTTATCGATTTTGGGAAAATAAAATAATTTTTCAGTAATTGTTAATTAGTATATGAAACAACTATGTTATTTTGTAATATTAATTCTCATTATATTTTTAATCTTTTTTTCAATAATTCGCCATTTCCTCGAATATAGGTACTGATAAAATTTCATAACAATACAAATAAATTCTTATTATTTTCGTTATAAATTATTAGTTAATGGAATCTAGATAGGTACACTAATGTGTTTTTGGGGAAAAAAAAATTGCAAGACTGCAAGAGTCTTGCAGTGATGGTCTTGTTTTGGTCTTGGTCTTGCAGCTTCGGTATTGGTTTGGTCTTGTTCTTGCAAGCCTAATCTTGGTCTTGGTCTTGCTAGACCAGTACCGTCTTGGTCTTGGTCTTGGTCTTGGTCTTGCAGCAAGAGTCTTGCGAGACCGCAAGACCAAGACCAATTTTGATCATCACTAGTTTAATATCAAATTAAAAATTAAAAATTCGACATAGGATGTGTGAGTTTTTGCCTGGTTCGTTCAGCTGGTCAGCCGATTGGCTAAGAAAATATTGAAAAACTCAAAAATATATAATAATATAAATGGAGAATAATTCTTAACTAGGAGCGTAATCCTAAGTGCCAGACCCGGTCTAGATCTTGTGAGACATCAATAACAATTTTAGGACAGTAGTTTTTTTTCCAAGGAGTACGATAATATAACGTCAGTTTATCTGTTTATTTGATCAATTGTAGAGGGCATCTCACAAAAGCCGAATATTGAGTTCCTATCAGGAATTATTTTGTACATATTTTAAAATCATAGTTATACATTTTAAAACTTATTTTTCATTTTTCACAGACGATAGGAAAATACATTTTTGGTAGGTTTGACTGGTTTGGGAAACCTAATTATAGTTTATAATTTAAGTTTTCTACTGAAAGGGAAAGTAAGAGTCGATGATATATTTTATAGAGTTTATAAAATGTGTTAATAGCTTGATGACATTGTTTGGCAGTTTGTATGACGTAATTAAATCCAATCCAAAGGATTTATGAAGTGGATAAAAGAATTTTAATTTTTAAATTTTTTTTTAAACCTTTGTAGTTTAAATATGAGGGAGGTAGCCAGTAAGATACAAATTAGTTGTAGATATATTGGAAAACTGATAATTTCTATTGGGATATGGTTGGACTTGGATCACATTTGCTAAGCGTGCTCGAAATAATTCAGATTTTCCTGCATTTAAAGCGCATCAGGAGTTGTTAATTGTTTTCAAAGAGATGTTTTATTTTTAAGACATTTCTTGGCTGCTCTTGAAATTACGACGTACTTAGTTGTCGTCGATAAAGTCCAAGAGTCAGATACATAACCAGAACTTATAATACACAATAACAATAACATTATAACAATTAATAATATAATATATGAGGGATGATTTTGTCAACAGTTTAACAAAGTTGAACAAACCGTATTTTTAATGGCATCTTAAATTACTTATACTAATATAAATAAAATATCCTTAGAAATAAAGGCTGACTAAGATTTTCAACTAAAAATAATTTTTCATATGCAATGATTTATCACTGGATTCAAATTGAACACATTCATATTATATCATTACAATGATCTACTCACCAATGAAGAAGAAACACTCGAAATCTATCATTAAGCATACCGAGTTCCCTGGTTGTTTTATAATTGTTGGTATTTGATCTTTGACATTTTTGAAACCGTTGATTGTTTACAAAGTTTGCATAACGTGGTATATAATATATATATTTCTTATCCATGGTATTAAAGATTGTTTCAAAGAATATTCGCCAGAGCTTGCATTATTTTACTCCAAACATAAACTTTATTCTGCTGCATATTTTGACGATAATTCTTCATTCAATATTCTGTTAAGCCATATCTATATTGTTGGAAGATTATAATTTATTATAACGATTTTAGAGCTAAATTTTTATTTTATCTATTGTTCTACAATCATGTGATTTACATAATATACTATAACAATAATACATTATTTATTGATTTTAAAATATGTTATACTTATGAGTTATCGAACATTTTAAGGTTTATTTACTTTTAAATTGTTTTTCAATAAAAATAAATTTATTATTCTTTATTTTATTTCATATTCTGATACAGTATATTTACCTGTAAATGTGTCTGTGCATAAATATCGAATAATCTATATATTATAATAATTATATGGTATATTGATGTTAACAAGAATTTTAATTTTAAATGAGTTTATACTATGTACTATATATTGTATAGTATCTCACCATCGTTTAGGAAATTTCTAAAAAATTTCGTTCAATTTAAACCAAAATGTCTGAAA